CAAAGTTTAAGATAAAAATCAAACTATGTATTGACCGACCCAAAGTATGGTGAAAAGACTCAATGAAGGAGATTGCAACAACAAAAAGTTATAAAAATATTAACTTTTGCAAGATCCAGAAAACATTGTTAAAAGAAAAATAAACGTTTTTGTATTATTGTAAATTTAAAGTTTGAAAATCTTATCTTTAGGAACTTTTTTCAAAAAAAAAAATACTTGCAGTGTGATAAGCATCGAATTTGCCAAATAAATAATGAAAGTAATATAAAGAAGTAGAGGTCGATTCACATTTACTACGGAAGTATGATAAATTTGCTTATTTTGGTCCTTTGGTTTAAACTGCAAAAATAAATATAGGGGATTTAGAAATAATGAAAATAATGCAATAATAAAAATAAATGATGAGAAAATAAATAAAGTAGAAGAATTCAATTGAGATGATATAGTTTTATGTTTTGCTTAGCCTCAATTTCGATCGATCATTAAAATATATTTTTTCTTTTGGATGCACGCCGATTACAATCAACGTACCCCAACCCCTGTAGTTAACTCTTTTCTCTGGTTAACCGAAATTCCCAAGTCGTCGTTAGCACCAAGACAACTTTGAGTTCTGAAAGAGCCAGACTCGGGTTATAGTGTCATTATGAGAATCGAACTCGATCCGTCTTCCAAACAGTTAGCCAAACACCTTCAAATCAACATACACTTTTGAAGTGAAGATGTAGTAACTTTTAAAGGTATGACCGATTACCACTCTTAGTTTCCAGAAAATCGAAGAATATTATCTGAAGTTACAGAGAGCAAGTCTCAATTCTCACGATTTAGAATTCAGTTTCGATTCCAATCTGAGTTCAAAGGTTGAACCTATGGGGTATATATAACATGAGAGTTCTAAGTAAATAAATTAACTAATTCCTAAATAAAAGATAGTGATATAATCAAACTAAAATTCCTGCCGAGAGTTGTAGTAAAATAATTAATTCCTAAATAAACAATAATAATAAAATAATCAAACTAAAAATCTTAAATTTAAAAGGATTATCATAAAAAGATAAAAATAAATATTTAAGTCTAGTTGAATTCTGATTCATCTTCTAGATAACTTTATGTCATGTAAATTTCAATTAAATATTCAAGACATTGGACCATTGAAATCTATTGGTTTTTGGGCTAATTAATCTAATGAAGCTCATGTCTAAATAGAACCCAAAAGAAAATAAATAAGTAATATCCAAAAGAAAAATGAGGAGTAAATAATAGTAAAAATATATAATATTCAACACTTATCATAGGGTTGAATCTTTCAACTCTCAAAAAAGAATATTAAACACAATCACAAAGTTCTAAGATTTTTTGGACATGTCATCTCATTACCACAAATTTTTTTCTTGTTAAGAAAATAGAGAAATAAACATAAATTGTTTTTAATCTAACCTTAAAAAAAATGAGATTTTACTTATAATATCAATTTTTATCTCGAAAATGATTGAAAATTTTCAACAACAAAAAAAAAGAGAGAAAATTTTAAACAAAAGAAAAAAGTTGATCTAAGAATGGAGAAATTAAGAAGAAAAGAAAAGAAAAGTTGGGGAGAAGAGGATGAGAGAGAGGAAACGACAGAAGAGATTGAGAAATGATAAGTTTAACTCTAAATGACATATATATGTGTATGTATAATGGCATTTTTATAATATATTAATAATATATATCAATTGTTTTGGGTTGGGTCGGAGATTTTTACTTTAAACCTGACTCTGACCTGAACCTGATTATATCTCTATCAAAACCCAACCTGACCCAAAACTTGATTTTCAAAGAAAAAAATCCTACCCTATCGAATTGGATCGGGTCATGTACGGGTTATTTGTCTGTTCCTAATCTTATCCCTATAATTAGAAGGCCTCATGGAAGGCATCAAAAGAATATAAGAAATGAGCCTGATGAACCAGTAATATTAACTGAAAGAATGAACAAAAATGGGTTACAATGACATGCACAAAATGTAGAAAAACATGCCACAATAAGAGGTTTGTATACGAAAAATTGGTGGCAACACACCTGTTGTACCACCAAACGGAGGTGAAAAAAATCCTGTAAATGCTAATCAAACATTTTTAATAAATTTAATTAATGTATTAAAATGATCATTTAAATAAATATTGTTCTTTTTGTATGTTTAGAGACCAACAAAGGAGACCAATGCAGTAGGTCAAAGCCGGAATCAACAAGACTCAATAACATAGTAAGGTGGATGATGCTTTCTCATGAGAATTCTCTCACCCAACCTAAACGTCAACCTCAAACACAAGTTGGTGCAAACATAAACCTCAAACTGACTATAAAAGTTATAAAATTATTTATTTTATATGAATGAAAGGATTTTTTTTAGACCAATAATGCTCAGTTACAGTTTGTATGATTTCACTTGTAGGTTAGGAGACCTATAAGGTCCAATCTAGAAGGTCCTACCCAACAACATCAAGGGAGTCGAAACACAAAAGGCTCAGTCAACACAGTCAGGTGGATGATACCTTCTCAGCGTAGCACTTCCACCCAACCTCAACCTTAAATAACATCAAATAAAGTTGCCAAACTATCTGTAAGTGTTAAGTAATCTTATTTAGTGCGTATCATTGCATGGTGAAAGAGTTTGATATGGGTACAATAACATGGATGAATTTTTCCACTTATAGGTTAGGAGACCAATGGGGTCCAATCCAGAGGTCCAAGCCAGCACCATTACAGGAGCCGCAACACACAGGGCTCAGGCAAGATAATTAAGTGGATGATGCCTTCTCAGTAAAGCTCTACCACCCAAAATTCAAACACAAGATCCTACTTTAAAAAGGCCCAGGTGGAAATTTTCTATAAATCAACAACTTTGTGACAATCAACTGTGTACATTTTGTGATAACCATATTTTATGAATTACCAATTGTATTATTTGATGTATTTTTTTTGGGAACATTTGAAAAAATGTCTTGCTGATTAAGATATACTTTTGTTAAACTTAGGGTTTGTCACTTTTTGAGAACATATATTTTGAGTTGTTATACATTACTCCACAAAATTGTAAGTAGAAATGACAGAAGCTGTTGTTTGAATGTCTTTAATATCTTCTCCCATTTTTTCTCTTACTTAAATATGTATGAACATATAAGCAAAAATCAATATATACAGAATTTTATATAAATTCTATATAGTTCAATTTATTATTTCATTTTATAAATGTTCCAATCACACAAATCATTAACATCTCATACATAAAACATTTTTGTTCCAATCAAAAAAATTATTAACATTTCATTCATTTAATAAATACCTTAATAATTACCAAATACTTTCATAATAATTAACATAATATTCTTAACAAAATAACAATGAACAAATACCATTGACAAAATGCATAGTACTTAACATAAATTCTTAACATTTCATAATAGCTCACTTTTAAAGATCCATTCATAAATCATCTTCTAGCTTCAATACTCAATTCATAAATCTTCATCAACCTTCAATACAGAAAATGCAAGTAAGCAAATGCTTCCACCTTCAAAATCCAATTCATAAACCTTCACTACCTATTGCGTAAACCATCTTTAATTTTCATCATCCACAAAAAATGCAGGTAAGCAAAATATAGCATATCAAAGCAAAAATTCACACAATTCTTTCATTTCTTTTTAAGTGTTCTGATTTTTCTAAAAAGACCAACCAGAATCATTTTCGCATGAGAAGTCATTGGTGGCTCGTATCATTTAAAAAAAATTGTAAGATTTGTGTCACCTATTGTCGTAAATATTATTACAATGAATAACACGTCTTCCAGGGTTGTCCTCAGACCATGTTCTCTTCAACACCTTCAAAATTCCACACCTGCATATCAAAATGGGACTCGGACATTGATTCTATCTCCTTCTTCAACCACTTTTCCCTCTTTTTCCTTTCGGTTTGAAATTTTAAGGTTAAAGATGTTTAAATAAATGACCTAATTTATTTTTTATTTACTATACATCCCATGTGACCTGTTTATTATTAAACTATGTCACGTAATCCAACTGTTAATATTAAACTATTCCACATCATCTAACTGTTAAGGAGAAAATGGTTGGACGAGCAAAATAATTAAATATGTAAAGTTCAGTGAACAAATTAGAAAAATTAAAAATACATTGAGCAAAATAAGAGAGAGTAAACTTCAGCGATGAACGGTGTAATTTACCTTATTTGTTAATTAAGAAAAGGGTAAACTATACGAATAGTCCCCTATGTTTTTGGTCTGACCAACTTTGGTCACCAATTTAAAAATTAAGGGGAAATGATCCCTAACGTTATTGATTCGTCCGATTTTAATCCCTAATGTTCTCGATCCGTTCGATTTGTCCCAAAGCCGTTAACCCTTTAATGAAAGTATTATGTGACAATTAAAAAATAATAAATAAATCCATATAAGTCACTAGTTGTATGTGACGTGGAATCAACATTTATTAAAAAATCTCAAAAGCCCCAAAAGCCCACCTGTATTTTTCTTCTTCTTCTTTGCAGCCTGGATCAAACACAAATAAAATACTACTTTCAAACAGAACATTAAGCAAAATAACAATATCATCCATTTTAAAGCCATTCCAAACTTAAGAAGACCCCAATGTTTTCAACTTAAAAAATCTCCCCAACTTAAAACGAAATGCACTACACCACACCTTGGGTTTTTTACAATCAAGGAAGGACGAGAAAGTTTTAGCCTTCCTGAGTTTAGCTTTGGATAAGATATGAAGTATTAAAATCAACTGAGGTAGCTTTTAGAGCAAAGAAGCTAAAGTTGGACCTTTATGCGATACCCATATCGACATTTCCAATTCATGGAATTTTTGTAGTTCGAGTGAGATTCCTTAGTAAAGAGCATAGGTGAAGAACCAAAGAAGATCATCGACTCTATGGCCACCGAATTCCATTCCAATTATCGATATTTCTCCCTTGTTGGCCAGATGCGATGATCCAAAAATATGCCCGGAATTGCTCTTGCATTGGGTGGATCACCAGATGAATTCGAAGGGGAAAGCAGCAGTGATGCAGTTTGGGTGATGCGTCTTATTGGTTACCCTGGTGCATCAATTGCAAACGGAAAAATATGTAAACCTGAAACTAACATCAGATGCGGTGCACACACGGACTATGGTTTGTTAACATTGGTGAATCAAGATGAAAATATCACTGCACTTCAGGTGAGAAACCAATCTGGTGAGTGGATCTCAGCTTCTCCGATTCCCGAAACGTTTGTCTGCAACATTGGTGATATGTTGAAGATACTATCCAATGGCATATACGACTCAACTCTTCACCGAGTTATCAATACATCTACATATCGCGTCTGTGTAGCATATTTTTATGAGCCGAATTATGATGCAACGGTGGAGCCTTTGGAAGTCTGCGTACAAAGGAGTGATGGAACTTGGAAGTTCATAAAAGCTGTTTATGAAGAACATTTAGTTAGCAAAGTTAAAGCAAACTTTGTAATGTAGGAGTTTTGCGTTGAAATTTTCAGGCTAAACTTGTTATCCTCTGATAGTACATTTGACTTCATAATGTATGAAATTGCAGTGATGAAGCTTGAGATGAAAACTGATTGTTCAAAAAAATATATATGTATCGCCCATTCCAGTTTTTGAGGCTGAAAGTAGCAGTTGGCAGTTGACAGTTGAAGACATCTCTCAAGTGAAAGCTGAAACTACTTTCAGTAGCTGTTCCAACATGAAACTTATGTTAAAAGAAAAAATACCTCCTCTTGAATTTCGGGTTTATAGTTTGAAAAGAGAGGTGAGACAAAGATGGAACGAGAAGAAGTTGCATTTTAGAGAATACTGAGAATTTTTAAAAAGATTTTAATTGCGGTTTGTAGTTCCCCCCCCCCCCCCTCTTTTTAGCGTGAAGAAGTAGAAGAAGAAAAAAGAGGAGGAGCACGTGATTTATTTTTTATTTTTAATTATCACATAATACTTTTTGTTAAGGGTTAACAGAAGTTAACGATAAAAGAACTAAAATCGAATGAATTAATGACGTTAGAGGTAATTTTTTCTTAATTTTTAAATTATTAAAATCGATAAGATCAAAAACATAAAGTACTATTTGCATAGTTTAACCTTAAGAAAAGAAGCTACATATATCTCATCCTCTCTTGCTGTCTTGTAACTCTTTCGTGACCGAGTCATGAGACCAGTGACTGATTTAGCAACTAGAATAAGCCGAGCAATGATCTCCGCATCCAACCACTCAGTCCCAAACCCGACTTAGACTCCGTCTCTTGAACAGACACTTAAGCGAATTGGTTGTCGTGACTCACTGAGTTCCTCACTTGTTCCCCCACGTCATCGACTCTTTCCCCCCATTCATAATGCTCTTGCTCTCGGCTTCTTCAACTGGGCGTCTCAGAAACCTGGATTTTCCCACGTTTAAGTCTTTTATCAGTCAATTCTGAACTCTCTCTTATCTTCCCGTTAATTCAATGCTATCGAAGCCATTTTAAAGCAAGCCGAAGCTCAGAAACTCTCTCTTGACTCATCGGTTTATCGCTCTTTAATTAGTTCATTGATCAAAGGAAAGAAAACCCAGAACACATTCCGGTTTTTTAATGAAATCAACTCGTTGAATGCAGAACTTGGATCCGAGTCATGTAACTCACTTTTGGCTGCCTTATTTTCGGATGGGTACTTTGCTGATTCGCTGAAAGTGTTTGATGAAATGTCTCAGAAAGGTATTATTTTTAATACACTTGGGTTTGGTTTGTTTATTTGGAGTTTGTGTAAAAATGGTGAATTGAGTAAAGTTTTGAGTTTGATAGATGAAGTTAAAAAGAAGAATGCTTGGGATGTTAATGGATCAATTATCGCAGTTTTGGTAGTTCATGGACTTTGTTTCTCATCAAGAGAATCAGAGGCTTTTTGGGTATTGGAAGAGTTTAGCAGTAGAGATTGCAAACCGGATTTTATAGCTTATAGGATTGTAGCTGAGGCGTTCACGATGATGAACAATGTAGCTGACAGAGAATTGATTTTGAAGAAGAAGAGAAAGCTTGGAGTGGCTCCAAGGAGTAATGATTATAGGGAGTTTATCTTAGGGCTGATTATGGAGAAACGGATAAGTGAAGCAAGGGATTTAGGTGAAGCTATTGTGAGTGGGAATTTTCCTATTGAAAATGATGTTTTGAATGCATTGATAGGATCAGTTTCGAGGATCGATCCCGGTTCAGCAATCATGTTCTTGACTCATATGGTTGAGAAAGGGAGATTGCCCACTATGTCAACCTTGAGTAGTTTGAGTAAGAATTTATGCAAGCATAGCAAGGGTAATGAATTGTGGAAATTTTACCAAGTTTTGTCTTCTCATGGTTATTTATCGGATTTGGAGAGTTATAATGTGATGGTTTCATTCTTGTGCAGGGCTGGGAGATTAAGAGAGGCTTATAAGGTTCTTCAGGAGATGAAGACAAAAGGGTTAAGCCCACGTCTTATTTTACAATCATCTTATGGAAGCATGTTGTGGAGAAGATTTAGTGCGTCCTGCCAAAAGGTTATGGGATGAAATGTTTTCAAATGGGTGCCCAGGAAATTTGAGTACTTACAATATCCTCATTGGAAACCTCTCACAGATAGGGGAAGTTAAAGAGGCCGTGCATCTTTTTCATCTTATGACAGAGAAAGAGGTAACACCAGATGCTACGACTTACACAATCCTTCTTGAAGGACTTTGTCAAGAATCAGATTTTAAATCTGCTTTCGAAATCTTCAATAAATCTGTTGAACAGGATGTGAGGCTTGCACAAACAGTATTGAGCACTTTTGTCATGCGTCTCTGCAGAAAAGGTTATGTTCATTTAGAATACACCTGTTTCTTGAATTTGACTTGTTTTCTTTTATAAGTTTCTCAACCAAAGTTAAAACAAATATGGTATGGTTCTTGCAGGTCAGTTTCTTGTTGCTTCTAAGTTGCTGTGTGTTCTAAATTCTGATATAGCACATTCAGATGCCCATGTTGTTTTGCTGAAATGGTTAGCTGATGCTAAAGAGATTCAATCAGCAATTAATCACATACAACGGGTTCGAGAAACCTCACCTTCGACCTTACAAGTTATATTAAGCAATCTGGGTACATATGTTTCCCCCACTTCGAGATCGGATTCTATAAATCAGCTGCTTTATGCAATAAAGAAGAAAGGTCAGCTAGATTGCAACATTTGCAAGTAAAAGCAAGTGTATGATTTGAAACTCCCCTCTTTGTAAAATAGAACTTAACAATACCGAAATCAATTGAGGTATACTGCTGTTAGCATATTACTTGTTGTTCTTATAGTCTGCAGTTTCCTTAAGAATTTTGTATCCGTTCTTACCAGGGACTTAAATAGCGGTCCGCTACCGCAATAGCGTCCACTATATAACAGTAGCCGTGTCATTCGATACTGTTATCGTATAACAACAATCACTGTAATGACGCTCATTATATCCGCAATCGCAATAAACGCAACATAACTGAAACGCGATCACAACCACAATTTAAATCCCTAATTCTTACATATTCAATTATTTGCCTATATGTATTTTTGTAGATATCCAAGTATTTATTTAGCAATTAGAATCAATATATAGCAAGTGAGTGTACAAAAGAAACGATTTTAGTTTTCTCTTAAACTAAACCTGTCCATTTTGACTGTTAACATTCAGTTATTAAAACACAAGCAAATGTTTAATCCATTTAACTCTTAAAATCAGAGCTATCAAATCTCATATCAATTGATTTTAATATTGTCATTTGTCTATATATATATATATATATGATGTCGTTAAATTAATATAGGATTAATAGAAATATTTAAAAATATTAATTATTTAATTATTTTATTGCAATATACAAGTTAAAAATATAAATTTTGAAATTCAATATACAAGTTACAAATATTTAAACTAATCTCTTTGTTTGACTTTTTTTTTGTATATTATGCGCATGTTTATCAGTCTATTTGGCACATTTTAATTAGGGATGACGATTTTTCTCGAAATTAATGGGTTTTGACCTGATCCAATCCGATAGGGTCGAGAGTTTTGGTTCAGGCCGGGTTTTATATAAGATTAGGTCGGGTCAGGTTCTAGTGGAGAGTGAAAACCTCTGACCCAAGCCGGGAAGAATAGAACAATTTTTCATATAAATTTATGGATAATTACTATAATACACCCTCTCTATAGTATTTTTAATTAGGTCATTAATTTATGTTGGGTTGGATTGGATCGAGCCGGGTTTGAATGGAGAGTATATATTTTTTGGGTTGGGTCGAATTCAGTGGAAAATATATATTTATTGCGTTGGGTTGGGTTAACCAAAAACCCGGTTCAACCCGACCTGTTGCCATCTAGTGGCACGTTTCCTCTGCCTTATGGCACGTTGTTTGTCTACCTCTGTGTTTGATGTGTGATCGTGTAGAGATTCTCATGTCACTTGTATCTGATTTGTGATTGTCAGTGGTCTTTCAGTGATTAGATTTCTTTTCATGGTTATTTGTCGATGTATTCAGATCTATTTGTGAAGCAACCTATAAGTTTGCTTTGACTCGCTCGTCACTCTTTCATCCTCCCTAAAACATCTAGTTCCATAGAGATAAAAGAGTATTGTTGATAATTATTAGGTTATTATGGATGATGAACATCATATTCAAAAGAAGTCTTCGACTATTATTGCATCTTTGAAGTTTATTTTATTTTATTTCGATAAAATTCATTATTGTTTTGAAGTTCGAAAAAATTAGAAAAGGTTTACACACGAAATGAAAATGTCCAGAACATGGTGACATGGTTTCGCCCAATTATTAAAGTCAAGTTTGGTGACATGGGTTTGTGATTTCTTGTTGATGGAATGATTTTTGTCTTGTCTTGACAAATTAAAGGATCGAACGATTGCAACATCCCAACTGTCCAAAAATAATGTTTACTTGACCCATTTTTATCCCTAAAATTTAATTAAACTAACAAGCTACATTAATCCATTAGGCACTTCCTGCCTTCCAATAATATATTATTCGTAAATAGCACAGTTGGAAATTTTTGTTGTAGTTAAGCTATAACTAATCCATCAAGATAAGGTATGGCTTTAAGCCACCTTTGTTTTCCTTTTTCTTTTTGAGAAAAAAATTGGTCTAATTATGATTTTGGTCTCATTATCATGTTAAAATTTAGTTGATATCATTTTTTGAATTAATCACTGATATTCGATCAATTAATCGATAAATCCAGATCAGGTATTGCAAGGAGATGCCAACTCTTCTAACCCAGTTTGCTCTATTGCAAATGTCAAAGTTCGAACTCCTGACATTGCTTAAGGAATCTAGTGCCTCGTCACACTAGACCAGCGAGTTATTTGTAAAGTTTAATTGATATTGTTAAAATATTTGATTTATATTTTTATAAATTCACTAATATATTTAAATCGATAATACTATTAGTTGATGTTGTTAAAATAAAGATCTAATATTTTTAATCAT